CCAAAATGTACCTCTGAGCTAAACAACAATCCCCTAGATGGCTCAGACCCTCCTCCCTATAATCTGAGGTAGGGGCTAATTTCTGAGTAAATCCTTCATCCAGAAGCCATTAAGGGTCACAGGCATCAAGAGACACAGGCCTGTGTAATGGAAAGACCAGTGGCTGGAGAGTGAGCAGATTGTCACCAACGTGCTGTGTAACCTCATGTAAGTCCCCTGCCCTCTGGTCATGGATTTCTTGATCAGTATACTGAGGGGTCATGAGATGATTTCCACAGCCCATTCACCAGTAAGATTCTAGGTTTCCTCTTGACATCCCTCTGTTCCCTGTATTGGTTTCAGTACTCACCTTGTGGCCATGGCTGAAAAGTGGCAGCACAGGGAACCCTGAGGAGGTGAGTCCGGTACTCCCACTGGGCTATGCTGATCAGAGGACCACAGACTCTCTGAAGACAGCAACTTGATTTTTATAGACTACTTAAAACCAAACAGGAAAAGGAAGCTGAACCAGAGACAAAGGGGAAACAAACCCAAGTGAAAAACTGAAACCTAGGTAGAAAATAGAGAAACAAGAAGCTAGCAGTGCAGAGCCCTACCAGCGTGGGTGGCTGAGAGGCACTTCACAGGCCTGACACCTCCACAGCTGGCAACCTCAAGCCTCTAAGCACTTCCTGCAAGGGTGCAAGGGTGGGTGATGCCTGCTGGAGGTAGGGGCCAGGTCGTGGTGCTGGCCCCCGACGAACTAGCTCTATAGTCTGTCTAAGTCAATGCCATTTAAGAGGTCTGGGCCTCGGTTTTCCATCTGTTATAGAAAGTGCAGGCTCAGCACAGACGACTTCCTATAGGCCTTAAGAAAAGGCTACAAGAACTCGCAAGAGTCCCCGCTGACTCTCCAGAGAATAGAAGACTAGATGATAAAGACTATAAGCTGATCTTTTTTTTTTGAGACAGAATTTCACTCCCATCGCCCAGGCTGGAGTGCAATGGCACGATCTTGGCTCACCGCAACCACCGCCTCCAAGGTTCAAGCGATTCTCCTGCCTCAGCCTCCTGAGTAGCTGGGATTATAGGCATGTGCCACCATGCCCAGGTAATTTTGTGTTTTTAGTAGAGACAGGGTTTCTCCATGTTGGTCAGGCTGGTCTCAAACTCCCGACCTCAGGTGATCCGCCTGCCTCGGCTTCCCAAAGTGCTGGGATTACAGGCATGAGCAACCATGCCAGGCCGCCGATCAAGTCTTAATATTTGACTCTGGAACAAAATTTGTACTTCTACCGAGCAGACAGCTCTCTCTAATGAGGACATTTAAGTCAGCAATTTAGAGCCTGAAAGGAAAACATTTGAGGAACACTGAGAACTTGGCTTTGTCACTTGTTCATTAAATGGGTGGCCTCAACTGTAAAATGGGGTTAGTTATACTTACTTTGCCTATCTCCAACAGGGTTCTCATGAAGATAAAATCCAGTTCAATCTTTCTTTCAAAATCTACTGAGAACTCACTAAGAAGCATGCACTGTGTTAGAAATCACAGACAAAAAATTCAGAACGACCGTACTGGTCCTTAAAGGACTTTTATGGCTTAGGAAAGAAGAATCCTGCCCTCTGGTCATGGATTTCTCGATCAGTATACTAAGGGGACCTGAGATGATTTCTATAGCCCATTTACCATTAAGGTTCTAGGTTTCCTCTTGACATCCCTCTGTTCCCTGTATTGGTTCCAGTACTCACCTTGTGGCCATGGCTTGATAATGTTAGCAAATATTTAATAGATCCATTAAAATATTGATATAGTGAAAAATAGTTGTACAGAGTACAGTACCAAAGAAGTATCAGTTCTAATTGCAGAGATGAATGCACTTTGAATGCTAAAAATGCATTTTTAAGAGGCTTTTAATGATATACATTTCCCTTTAAGCACTGTTTTAGTTGCAAACCACAATTTGGATGTATTGCAGTTTTCTTTTTTCTTTTGGTTCAAAATATTTTTAATTTTCTCTAGTGATTTCTTCTTTTATCCATAGATTATTGATAAGTGCTTTGTTAAATTTTGAAATATTTGGTGTTTTCCTATATGTGTCGCTACTTATTTCCAATTTAATTCTACTGGGCTCAGAGAACATATTTGGTGTGACTTCTTCCTTTGTTTTTCCTGGTATGATCTCAATCCTTTCACATTTATCAAAATGTGCGTTATGGCCCAGCATGCAGTCTACCTTGGCGGATGCAGCATACGCACAAGGAAAGAATGTGTATTCTGAAACTGGTCGGGTGCAGTGTTCTAAAATGTCAATTAGGTCATGGTGGTTAATAGTATTGTTCAGAACGTCTATGTCCTTGTTACTTTTTGTTGCTGTTGTTTGTTTTTGTCTAATTATTCTATCAACTGCTGAGGGAAAGGTCCTGAAATCTCCAACTGTGACTGGATTTCCCTCTTTAATTCTGTCACTCTTTATTTCATGGGTTTTGAAGCTCTTATTAGGTACATTTTTCCATGCCACATTGGTTTTCTGCACTGCTGTAACAAATTACCACAAACTGAGTGGCTTATAACACACACACTTACTATCTTAAGAGTTTTGTAAGATCATAGGAGGTAAGAAGCCCAACATCATCAGAAGTCCCACATGGGTCTCTCTTGCTCACCTTTCTCAGCTTCTGGACACTGCCTGCATTGCTTTCTCATAGCCCCTCTGTCCGCTTTCAAAGCACGCAGCATTGCTCCGACCCTTCTTCCACAGCGACATGTCTTTCTGACCACGGTGTGGACAGGTTCTCTACTTTTAAGGACTCATGTGACTAGACTGGACCCAATGGATAATCCAAGATAACCACTCCATCTCAAGGTCCACAACTTTAATCACATCTCCAGAGTCGTTTTTGCCACGTAAGGTAATATTTTATTTTTTTACTTTTTTAGAGACAGGGTCTATCGCTGTCACCCAGGCTGGAATGCAGTGGGGTGTGATCATAGTTCACTGCAGCCTCAAACTCCTGGCTCAAGTGACCCTCCTATCTCAGCTTCCTGAGTAGTTAGGACTATAGGCACACACCACCATGCCTGGCTAATTTAAAAACATTTTTTTAAATAGAGATGGGGTCTTGCTATGTTTCTGAGGCTGGTCTCAAACTCCTGGTCTCAAGTGATCCTCCTGCCTTGGCCCCCAAAGTGCTAGGATTACAGGCATGAGCTACCATGCCCATCCCATGTAAAGTCACAGAGTCACAGGTTCTAGGGATTAGGGCAGGGTGATGGCATTACTCTGCCTACTACACATCCTTTCACCTTCAGTTGATTTGTATCTTTGTCCTATAGATAGTGTATGATTGAGTCTTGCATTTTCACCCAGTCTGACAATTTCTATCTTTTAATTGGGGTATTTAGTTTATTTACATTTAGCTTATTGATACAGATGGATATAGGTCTACTACTTTGCTATTTGTTTTCTGTTTGTCTCGTCTGTTTCTGGTTCCTCTGTTCTTCGTTTCCTGTATTCTTGTGGGTAAACTAAATACTTTTCAGAATTTCATCTGAATTTCTCTGTTGACTTTTTAGCTATACCTCTATTTTTTTACAGGTCTTTCTAGGGATTACAATATACATTCTTAACTTTATAAAGTACACTGAGTTAATATTGTACCACTTCAGTAAAATGTTAAGAACTTCATAATTGCTTAATTTCATTCTCCACTCCCATCCTTTATGGTGTAGCTGTCATATGTGTTACATACTCAAAATATAATGTTATATATTTTTGTTTTAGACAATCATATATATATATATATATATATATATATATATATATATATATATACAGCTGACCCTTGAACAGCACAGGTTTGACCTTCATAGGTCCATTATACTACTACTTTTTTTGAGATGTGGTCTCGCTCTGTTGCATAGGCCAGAGTATAGTGGTGCAATCACAGCTCACTGCAGCCTCAACCTCCTGGGCTCAAGCAATCCTCCCATCTCAGCCTCCCAAAGTGCTAGGACTACAGGCATGAGCTACCACCACGCCTGACCCAGGTCCACTTGCACATGAAATTTCTTCTACCTCCGCCACACCTGAGACAGCAAGACCAACCCCTCCTTTTCCTCTTCCTCCTCAGCCTACTCAGTGTGAAGATGACAAAGATGAAGAACTTTAAGATAATCCATTTCCAATTAATTACTAGTGAAACTAATTAAAATATATTTTCACTTATGATTTTAATAAAATTTTTCCCTAGCTTAATTATAAGAATACAGTGTGTAATACATATAATAACAAAGTATGTATTAACCAACTGCTTATGTTATTGGTAAGGCTTCCTGTCAACAATAGGCTCTTAACAGTTAAATTTTAGGGGATGCAAGTTTTAGGTGGATTTTTAACTGTGTGAGGGGCCAGCACCCTAACCCCTGGATTGTTCAAGAGTCATGTGTGTGTACATATGTGTGTGTGTATTGAAGAAATAAAAGTCTTTATGTTTACTCATATATTTCTCTTTTCCAGTAATCTTTATCCATCCCTGAACATCTGAATTTCCTGTTTTTGTTTTTTTGTTTTTTTTTTTTTTTCAGCCTGAGGAACTTCCTTTAGAATTTCTTTTTGTTTTTTTGAGACAGGGTCTTGCTCTGTCACCCAAGCTGGAGTACACTGGTGTGGTGTGATCTCGGCTCACTGAAACCTCTGCCTCCCAGGCTCAAATGATTCTCCTGCCTCCTGCCGTCTGAGTAGCTGGGTCTAAAGGTATGCGCCACCATGCCTGGCTAATTTTTGTATTTTTAGTAGAGAACGGTTTCACCATGTTGCCCTGGCTGGTCTCAAACTCCTGGATTCAAGGGATTCGCTCACCTCGGCCTCCCAAAGGGCTGGGATTATAGGCGTGAGCTACTGTGCCCGGCCTCCTTGAGCATTTTTTGTACAACAGGTAAGTTGGCAATAAAATTCTCTTACTTTTCTTTTATCTGAAAAACATCTTTGTCTTCAAGCCTCAAAGCACTTTTTGCGAATAGAGAATACTGAGGGTTTTTTTGTCTTTCAGCACTTTAAAGGTATTGTTTCACTGTCTTCTGGCCTCCACGGTTTCTGAGAAGTCAGCCATCATTCACATACAATGTACGTAATGGATCCCTTTTCCTTTGGTCATTTTTAATATTTTCTTTTTCTTTCGTTTTCAGCAGTGTGACTGTGATGGGTTTAGGTGTGGTTCTTTTTGCATTGATTTTGCTAGGGTTTCATTGAGATTCTTAGGTATGTAATTTAAGGTTTTTCACCAAATTTGGGAAATTTTAGTCATTATTTCCTCAATTATTTTTCTTCTGCCTCATTCTCTTTCTCCTCTTCCTCTGGCACTCCAAGTACATGTATGTAGACCTCCTGATATTATCACAAGGCACTGGTAATTCTTTTTAAAATATTTTCCCATTTTTCAGACTAGATATCTATTGATCCATCTCCAAGTCCACTACCCTTTCTTCTGGACCTCTGATCCACTTTTAGTCTCATCCAGTAAATTTTTCATTTCATTTCCAGTAGTAGAATTTTCAATGGGCAAGTTTTTTATAATTTCCATTTCTCTGTTGGGATTTCCTGTTTGTTCACTTTATCCACCTTTTATTAAAGTCTGTGAACATATTTATTATGGGTAACTTGAAGAACTTGCCTGTTTGTTCCAACTTCAGGAGCATTTCAGGGTCTACTGACTGCTTTCTTCCCCTTAAGTATATGTCACATTTTCTGACTCTGTATGTCCACTAACTTATGATTGTATGTTAGATACAGTATGATACATTGCAGAAAGTCTGGATTATGCTATCTTTCTTTAAAGATGTAAAGTCTGTTCTGGTAGTCAGGGAGATTACTGGCAGATCCTTTTGGTGCTACCAAGCTTGGCTCAAACCTTTCTTCAGTTCTATTTCCATTTTGAATTTAGCCTTAGGGGTGTGCCTCCCCTAAACAACCCCCCAACTCCACCCCCCACCCCCCACCCGCATCTGACTCAAGAGCACAGTCCTACTTCTAAGGTGTGACGTTCTGGGATCTCAACTGAATGCCTGAGGTGTTCAGGGAAGTTTCTTCATTCAGGTTAAGCTGGATCTGCAACATCTCCCAGAACTGAATGACCTCTGGCATCATCATTGGGTTCTTAGCCCTACAGCCGGTGATCTCTGCCAGGCCTCATGAAGAGTCTCACTCTGCACATGCACACCCAGCTCTCAGCCAACAATCCAACTAGAATCCTTACAAAGAACTCTGCTGTCTTTGCCCCATCACAGGGCTTCCATTTCTCTAGTTCCTTGCCCTGCAAACTCCAACTATTTCAGTGGCATAGAATTCTAATGTCTGCCCCGAGCTGACTAAAATCACCCTTCCATTTGGGCTCCACCACTCCATGCCGAGACTAGATGGTAACTGCAGGCAGAAAGCCAGGGGCTTCTCATGGCGTTTCCTCTCTCAAGAATCAAAGTCCTATCCTGTCTGTCCAAAGTCTGAAAATGGCAGGGATTTAATATCTTCCATGAATCTCAGTACCCTTTTTATATTCAGTTGCTTCACATATTTTACACAGTTTCGTAGTTGTTTTTGTCAAGAGAGCAAGTCATTACCATTATTCTGCCATGGCCAGAAGCAGAAGTCAACTATGATTATTAAACTACAAAAGGGTATTGTTTCTCATTTTCTGAAGATGCTAGCCTAAGAGTAAACATCTTCTCTGTGAGAAGTGTCTTTCAGTTTCACCCCTCGTTTCCTCTGTCCTTCACATGTTACTACTACCTTTTATCGGTTTCACTAGGTAGGTAACACGTAAGAGTGAACCTTCTGGGGCTATTATTTTAACTCTATCATCTAGCTTTAATAAAGCATTGAGAAGAATTATGAAAAGCAGCAAAAAATGTGGCAAGCTTTCTGAGCAGGGTGCTATGAGACAGGGATTCCAGCCCTTGCTTTGTTATTGACATGCTGTACGTTCCTGGGCATTCAGGTCTCTACTTTGACCCTGGTGTCTCCAGGTCCGATGAAAAAAAATGATCTTATAAATAACTATGTACTACAGGTATGGTACCAATTCCTAAATCGACCATGTCAGGGCAACAGAAAATGTTGGAAAGATGGAATAGGAACTGCTGACACTTGTGAAGCAATTTAGTGAGCAAGTTAAGAAACATATCCTGTTTAAGGTAGCATCTTATAATGTGACACCATGAATTGCACTCAGCACCTGGTATACTGCTTAGGTAGCAGGTACAGTGTAAGTGGTGATTGTATGAATAACTATGCATGGACGAATAAATTAATTAATTAATGAGGAAGAAGGGCATCAACTCATACAGGATATTGATATTAAATCCTAAGGCATTTGGCTTTGGATTTTGAACACAGTAAATGCTCAATAAACAACAACTGTGTTGACTTGAATTAAAAGATGTGCTTTCCATGTATCCAGACCCCAACAGAAAGCAGAGTGGGCTGAAAATAAATCATAGAGCTATACTAGAAGATACTCTACTTAGGAGATCTAGTTCAAAAACTTGCTGTGGTGACTTGGGAAAGTCAACTTTCTTCTGTGGGTTTTAGTTTTCTTTTCTGTAAACAGACTAATCTCACTTCTCTTTCTTTCTCATTGGGATGTTTGTGAATGAAAGGGTCCTTCACTAACCAGAAATGAATTATGTTTGTATAATACTGACATTTCATGAGAATTTGTGTTAAGAAGGCAGGGTGTTTTGAGTACAAAGGATTATGTACAAAGGATTATGAAATCCTATTAACAATGCTGCAGTAGGCTTTTAAAATATAATATTTTATATGTGCTATCATTAGTTGACTCCTGGAACCTCAACTATCACTCCAAAAACCAAAATGGAAATTGGATCTGCCAGAGATTCTATTATTCTCAACTACTTTGCCTGAGAGACATTTCTTTAAAAAGTTCACACTAAAAAAGCTCAGCCAGCCACAAGACGCTAAAGTGCCTTTTCCTTCCCAGTTCACTCACAGTTCAGGTTCAGCTCTTGCTGATAGGGCCTGCCTAAGCCCGCCTGCTCTGTGAAGTCCAAATGTTTATCATACCAGAGGGAAGACATGAAGAACAAACAACTCAGGTAAAAAAAAACAAAAAACAAAAAACAACTCCAAATAATCTTTCTGATGATCTGAGACCTGTCGTCAGAAAATGTTTCATTTCCAGAGTTACAGCATCTGGAAAGAAAGCGTAAATGGCCAAATAAAGAAACTCCGATGTCAGCTGAGCAATCTCTTAGGGGGACTGTAATATGGCTCTTCACCAGTATCTGTGACCTTAGACTTCCGTGGACTTGTGTTCCTGAGGACACTATGCTACATATAATCTTTCTCCACATACATCTTTCATCATATAAAGGGAGAAGTAAAGGGGAAAGGTAAAATCCCACCACCAGACTCCTGGAATGGGAAATCTAGTTTCCTGTACACGCCCTGGTGGTTCAGGCTCCTGTGCCTTGTAAACACAGCTGTCCTCACCTCCTGAAATGACTTCTTACCCCATCTACAGGCAAACTTGGGTTTGTCCTTCAAGATCCAATTTGCCTATATCTTCTTTAATCAAGTGTTTACTGAGCCCCCAGGACAGAGAAAATTATTCCTGCACTGTGCTACTTCTGTATTTTGTAATTTTATCAATTTAGTGGTCACAGAGCATTACCCCTTTAGGAAGCAACTATCATTTCTTATTTATCTTTTATAATCAATTGTGGGCAGCACAATTCTTGGTACATGGTGTGTGTTCAGAATCTTTGTTAAGCTATTTTGCCTGAAAGGACTGGGACTCAAGAAGTGCACGAATTACTAGTGGTATAAAAAGGGGACAGATCGGGCCTTGTGTTTTCAAGCCTAGAGTTTGCTGAGTCTAGCCTCTGATACCAGGCCACCCTGCCCTGAGGTACTCCCTTTCAACCACACTCCTGGTTAAACTCATCTGCAGCAGAAGTAGACCATATATGCCAGCCAAGGAAACCGAATATTCTAAGGAAATCATTACTAATTCCCAGAAGAAAATTGTAACGTCTCAGAGAAACGCAAGTACCATAAAAGAAAAACTTAAAAGATAGATAACAAATGAAGCAACCTCTACCATGGGAAATAGAATTTTAAAATCCAATAAGTATAATAAATGTCTTTGGAGACACAAGGGAAGATACTTAAAACATTAAGTGAGAATAAGCCATAAGGAAGAACAACCAAGCACTTTTTTTTAGTATAAAAATATAATTGCTGAAATAGAGAACTCAACAAATATGCTCAGCAGAAGCAGCAAAGATGAGAAACTGAGAATCGGGTCAAAGAGTTGACCCTAAAACATCAGGTAGGGAAAAAGGGACAGGGAGGACAGAAGTATCAATTTCTGTGTAAAAGGCATCTCAGAAGCAAAAAAAAAGAGAGAGAGAAGTGAAATGACAGAAAATTTTGTAGAATTCAAGAAAGATGTAAGAGCTCAGACTGAAAGGGGTGGGCCGGGCGCATCACGCCTGTAATCCCAGCACTTTGGGAGGCCGAGGTGGGCGGATCACGAGGTCACGAGTTCAAGACCAGCCTGACCAACATGGTGAAACCCCGTCTCTACTAAAAATACAAAAATTAGCAGGGTTTGGTGGCGCATGCCTGTAATCCAAGCTACGCAGGATGCTGAGACAGGAGAACGGCTTGAACCCAGGAGGCGGAGGTTGTGGTAAGCCAAGATCGAGCCATTGACACCAGCCTGGTGACAGAGCAAGACGCCATCTCAAAAAAAAAAAAAAAAAAAAAAGAAAAAGAAAACAACGTGCATGTACACATACAGACACAAACACCAATTATGGTATCTAATAACAGCAGAGACAGAGACAATTCTAAAAGCTTTCCACATAAAACCAAGTCACCTACAAAGGAACAAGAATCAGACCAGACTTCTTCACCTCAACTAGGGTAAAACAATGAGGTATTATCTTCAGAATGCTGGAGGAAACAAATTTTTGAACCTTACATTTCATTCCATACCAATCTAAAGTATCATATACATGCAAGGAAGAAAGAAATATATTTTTAGGTATACAAGATTTCAGAAAGTTTTACAGGTACAGACCTTCTTTGGAAAAATTTCACTGTATATATTCTAGCAAAAAGAAAATTTACCCCTAGGAATAAATAGCAGGCTATGACACGTGGGAGCATCCAACTGAATATTTTTAAGCCATGAAGAGGGAATGAGGTACTGACACACGCTACAACAGACAGACCTTAGGAAACATTATGTGCAGAGAAAAACGTGAGACACGAAAGGTCACATGTTATATGACTATATTTATATGATACTCAGAATAGGCAGATTTAAAGAGACAGGATACAGATTTTTTTTTTTTTTTTAGAAGAAGTCTCACTCTTGCGGCCCAGGCTGGAGCGCAATGCTGCGATCTCAGCTCACTGCAACCTCCCCATCCCAGGTTCAAGCAATTCTCCTGACTCGGCCTCCCAGGTAGCTGGGATTACAGGCATGTGCCACCAGGCCCAGCTAATTTGTATTTTTAGTGGAGATGGGGTTTCACCATTTTGGTCAGGCTGGTCTTGAACTCCTGACCTCAGGTGATCTGCCCGCCTTGGCCTTCCAAAGTGCTGGGATTACAGACATGAGCCACTGTGCCTGGCCAGGACACAGATTAGTGGTTGTCACAGGCTGGTGACAGGGGATGTGTGCCTGGGTCTTAATTTATAAAGGTCACTGAGAATGACACAAAGAGGTCAGTGCCATTGAAAGAAAAGTTTAATGTCATTCACAGTTCCCCCACAAAATAAGAGGCACGGCACAACATGCAGGGCCACGGGGGAAGCACCAGAGTCAATAAGGAGACAGGAGCAAGGGGAAGGCACAGGCCACAGCCCTTATTGGGGCTTCCATAGGGAAGGCAAGGCAGGCAGGATAAATGGCTTAGAAAAGGCTACAACTGAATAATTCTAGCAGGCTTTGGGGCCTACGAGGTGTCCCTAGCTGTCTGGAACCTGGCTCCGGGTTGATTTAGAGCAGGAGAAATATTGGCTTGGTGTGTGAGCATCAGATAAAGAAAGTGGCTGGGGTATGGACTCAGGATTGGTTGGTTTGTATATGAAAGACAGACTCACCAACAAAAGCTTCTTCTTATTGTCTCTAGGAATTAGCTAACCCTGGGAGGGGTAGTCTCTTCCCCAGCCAACAAGGCCCCATAAAGATGTCAAAACGTTGGGCACAGTGGCTCACTCCTGTATTCCCAGCACTTTGGGAGGCCGAGGAGGGCAGATCATGAGGTCAGGAGATCGAGACCATCCTGGCCAACATGGTGAAACCCCGTCTCTACTAAAAATACAAAAGTTAGCTGGGCTTGGTGGCACATGCCTGTAATCCCAGCTACTCGGGAGGCTGAGGCGGGAGAATCGCTTGAACCTGGGAGGCGGAGGTTGCAGTGAGCTGGGATCGTGATCGTGCTACTGCACTCCAGCCTGGTGACATAACCAGACTCTGTCTCAAAAAAAAAAAAAAAAGGATGTCAAAACATCATAAAATACAAAAAAAATGATTGATACGAAGTGAAGGAACAGACTAATCAATATGGAACTTCCTTTTGTGATAAAAAGAACTATGCAAGAGTAGCTGGGCACGGTGGCTCACACCTGTAATCTCAGCACTTTGGGAAGCTGAGGCAGGATTGCTTGAGCCCAGGAGTCTGAGACCAGTCTGGGCAACATGGTGAAACCTTGTCTTTACCAAAAAATACAAAAAAAACATGGGTGCAGTAGCATGTGCCTATAGTCCCAGCTACTCAGGAGGCTGAGGTGGGAGAATAGCTTAAATCTGGGTGATAAAAATATATAAAAACTAGATAAAGATAGTGGTTACACAGCTACAATTTTACAGTGTGCAATCCAGTGGTGTTTAGTACATTCACATTAAAACAAAAATCTCATGAAGTTTCTTATTGCCTAAGGTTTAATGATGTTTGAATAAACAACAATAATCAATGACTATTTTTAAGTAAAATATCCATAACTTTGCTCGAAAATTCGACACAGCAACTTTTGTATATGTATAGGGTGTTATTCTATGAAGAACAGAAGGCGGTAAGAGTACATTAAAGACTGACGGAAGCTGCAGACACTGACAAGCTTTAAAACGACGATAAAGAAAAATAAGTATAAGCATGGGTCACACTAAGGGAGGAGTAGCCATGAGGAGAATAAAAATAGAACCTATAGTTTCTCACTCAACTGAAGAAATGTAATATATCCATCAGAAGGCGAAACGAGAAAAAACAAGGAGAAAAAGCATAAAAAATAGAAAATATAGAATAAGACAGCAGTAATAAAAGCATGTTGATCTTTATTTTTTATTTTTATTTTTTGCTTGTGTACTGCTATGGACTGTGTCCCCCAAAATTCATATGTTGAAGCCCTAACCCTCAACTGGAGACAGGGCCTACAGAAAGTCAATTAAGGTGACATGAGCTCCTAAGGGTAGGGCCCTGATTGATAGGATTAGTGTTTCTGTATGAAGAGATGCCAGAACATGTGCATGCTCTCATGTGCACTCTCTCTTTTTCTCTCTGCCAGGTGAGTGCACTGCAAGAAGGTGGCCATCTGCAAGCCAGGAAAAGGGTCCTTGCCAGAAACTGAACTGATGGGCATCTTGATCTTGGACTTCCCAGCCTCCAGAACTGTGAGAAAATAAATGTCTTGTTTAAACCACCTAGTCTATGATATTTTGCTACAGCAGCCCACGCAGACTAATACACATACCTTCTAAAAGTATTTAGAAAATCTGTATATCTTGCATTTTTTTTTTTTTTTTTTTTTTGAGACAGGGTCTCCTGCTGTTGCCCAGGCTGGAGTGCAGTGGTGCAATCTCTGCTCACTGCAACCTCTGCCTCCTGGGTTCAAGCAATTCTCCACCTCAGCCTCCCAAATAGCTGGGGCTACAGGTACACACCACCATGCCCAGCTAATTTTTGTATTTTTGGTTAGTGACAGGGTTTCACCATGTTGCCCAGGCTGGTCTTGAACTCCTGGGCTCAAGCAATCTTCCTGCCTTGGCCTCCCAAAGTACTGGGATTACAGATATGAGCCACCGTGCCTGGCCCCTCCTGCATATTTTTAAGGTGACACCAATTTTTCAAGATAAATTTAAATGGCTGCAAAAAGATATAATATTTAGAAACATTATATATGACATGCATGTGTTAAATATATTACATTTATAAATGCAATTTAATATGTAAGTGTAAGCTGTTTCAGAATTTACAAAAAAGGTCTGACATAAAACATAATTGGCAAAGCCTGTCTGCTCTGTCAACCATTCAGGCGAATCAGATTTACTTTCCGTCAGAAAAAGTTTGACCTTATTTTCAACTCAAACATGCTCTACACATCACAGTGAAAGCACAGCACTTCGAGATTCTTAGTTTTAAAACCAACTACCAGATAGGTAAGGCATGGGGATGCGCCATGAGTTGGTAGCCTGGAAGAGAAAAGACCTGCCCTTCTGTTATTTTTCACAGAGACCTTCTTTGCTTTGCTTTTATGAGACTCTCTTTTAGGGCCAACGAGTTCTCAAATTATTTCTGTTTGGTTCACCGAGGTATTATGTCCTGAGGTAAGCTAAGGACGCATTGTAAAATGTGGAAGGGGTCGGTGATGTGTCTGTCTTCTGTACACTGAGAGGAGAAACACGAAAGCTGATGGGAGAAAGGAGCAGCAGCACGCAGGCACATTTCCTAACAGATCAACACTGGCCTGGAATATACACGGAAGTGAGAAATCAGGGAATTGGCTCCCTTGCCAATTTACCCCCAGGAAGTCTTTATGTACCCCCAGGAATAAACATGCCCCAGTTTGAAGACTGCTGTGCTAATATAACAGCAATGACCACACTATAAACAGGTTACAATTACTGGCCAAGAGACAGGAATTGTTAGATTGAATAAAAAACAAGAACCAGAGTTACGAAGTCTACACAAGATAGCTAAAACCAATGAATGCTTCAACACTGAAAATAAAGAAATAGAAAAGTTATAACGCTGTTATAAGTAAAAAGAAAATTACGTTAGCAATTTTAATATCAGACAAATAGAATTTAAGAAGGAAAAGAGATTAAGAAACCAGAAGAAGATTATACAGAAGTCACCTTCATCCATGGGGATACATGTTCCAAGGCCCCCAGTGGATGCCTGGAACCATGACAGTACTGAACCCTATGTATACACCATAGGCAAGAGTAGATCTGATAAGCTGCTAAGTGACTGACAAGCAGGTAGTGTGGACAGCGTGGATAGGCTGGACAAAGAGATGATCCATGTCCAGTCAGGACGGAGCAGGACAGTGCAAGGTTTCATCATGCTACTCAGAATGGCCTACAATTTAAAATTTACAAATTATTTCTAGAACTTGTCATTGAATTTTTCTGGAACAAAGTTGATCTCAGGTAACTGAAACAGTGAAAAGCAAAACCATGGATGAGGCGGGGGAACTACTGTATGCTAGTAAAAATAATAAGGCTGGGTGCAGTGGCTCACGCTTGTAATCCCAGCACTTTGGGAGGCTGAGGCAGGTGGATCACTTGAGGCCAGGAGTTCGAGACGAGCCTGGGCAACACAGTGAGACCCCCATTCCTTAATTTTTTTTTTTAATTAGTTGGGCGTGGTGGTGCCTGCCTGTAGTCCTAACTACTTAAGAAGCTGAGGCGGGAGTACTGCTTGAGCCTGGGAGGTTGAGGCTGCAGTGAGCTACGATCTTAACCACTTCACTTCAGCCTGGCGGACAGAGTGAGACCCAATCTCAAAAAAAAAAAATCATGAGCTCATACACAAATAATATAGCATTATGGAGAGAAATAAACACTTGTAGCAAATATTGTTAAAATATGAATTAAATATTTTTTAAAACACACACATTTTTAAAAAGCAAGGACACGTTAGCTCCCCACTGAGATATCTCCTGTTGACATTTCTTTTAAAGTTATATATGTTTAAAGATAGAAAACTCAAAGTACAGGAAGATACAGAAGGTAAATTAAAGCTCCTCTCCTTTCCCCGATCCTTTCTTCCCCAAAGACAACCACTGTTAACACTGGAAAAAAATGTTTTTAGAGGGTGGGAGTTGGGGGATTTACAATCCTCATTTATGGTAGTCCACTGTTGCTTCCTTTATACCTGTGTCCCCTTGAGCGAGGATCGACTAACGTAAATCCTGCTTTGTAAAGAGGCCAGAAAACTTGTGCAACTTAATGGCTCAAAAAGTGATGCAAACATGCTATAACATGGATGAACCTTGGAAACATTAGGCTAAGTGAAAGAAATCAATCACAAAAATCACATATTGTCTGATTCCATGCATACGATATGTTCAAAAGGGGCAAATCCATAGAGAAAAAAGTAGATTGGGGTTGCCTAGGGCTGGTGAGGAGAGGCTGCGGGAGATGGGAGACTGACTGCTAGTGGGTTGAATCTACTTTTGGGGTGATAAAAACGTTCTACAATTAATTGTCGTGATTGTTGCAAAACTCTGTGAATATACTAAAAACAACTGAGTTGTATACTTTCAAGGCGTGAATTTTATGGTATGTAAATTATATCTCAATAAAGCTATTGTTTAAAAATGCCCCAAATGCAGACTGAAAATATAAATGCTTCCAACTGGGTTATGAAGTAACAGGAGAATTTTGAGACTGTTGAAGAAAACCATCCCATCATTCTGACTCACATCAGAAACAATACTCAGTAGAAAGGACTGCATCCAGGGTGATGATTCTCAAGTTATTTCAGCTGTCCAGAGAGTAAAAAGACATAAAACGAAGCAAGGGCACTTCTGGCAAAAAAGGCCTCCCTAGAATACAGCAGTTGCAATACATGTGCTCTTCGGCTTCCAGGCAATTCCTGTGAACTTGAACGACGCTCACACACTTTGACGCAAGCCTACGAACTGGACCTGAGAACCGTTTATTTCCCAAGCTAGAAGTTTCCAAATCTTCTGCTTCCTTTCAATGATTTCCAGTGGTTTTAAAGAACATTTAAAGAAAAATAGGACACATTAGCTAGACTTGGTTAATTACAAATCAAATAATGCAAAACTACTTCACCACTTGAATTACTAGAGTTTTTGTTTTTCAGACCTTTTTGCTTGGTTTGGTTTTGCTTCTATTTCATTTCCACGAATGTAACACCTGTATAGATTGGTGATGTAACCACCACCACAATCAGAAGGCAGAAGAGTGCCATAACTCCCAAGCTCCCCCAGCTCTCCCTTTGGAGTCATACCCACCCCCACCAATTCCCAGCAACCACTGATCTGTTCTCCCTCCCAACAGTTTTGTCTTTAGGAAAATGTCATGTTAATAAATCATGTAACATGTAGCCTTTTATGACTTCTTAGGCCTCCTTTACTCAGTGTAATGCCTTTGAGATTCATTTGAGCTGCTGTGTTATTAATAATTAGCTCCCGGATGGGCGCGGTGGCTCAAGCCTGTAATCCCAGCACTTCGGGAGGCCGAGACGGGCGGATCACGAGGTCAGGAGACTGAGACCACCCTGGCTAACACGGCGAAACCCCATCTCTGCTAAAAAATACCAAAAAAAAACCAGCCAGGTAAGGTGGCGGGTGCCTGCAGTCCCAGCTACTCGGGAGGCTGAGGCAGGAGAATGGTGTAAACCCGGGAGGCGGAGCTTGCAGTGAGCTAAGATCTGGCCACTGCACTCCAGCCTGGGCGACAGAGCGAGACTCCATCTCAAAAAAAAAAAAAAATAATAATTAGCTCCTTTTTTTTTTTTAAATGCAGAGTCGTGTTCTGTTGTACGTATGTATTACAAGTTGTTTATCCATTTAATCGAACGACAATTTGGGTTGTTCACAGTTTTTGGCAATGGTCATGAAAGTTTTCATTTCCATAGGGTGACTATGTAGGATTGCTGGGTTATATGTTAACTGTATGTAAAACTTTATGAGGAACTGCCAAACTGCTTTCCAGAGTAGCTGGGCCATTTTGTATTCCTTCTGGCAGTGTAGGAGAGTTGCTGCTCTGCACCCCCAAGGCACTGTCAGTATTTCATCTTAGTCACTCTAGTAAGTGCATATGATATCCTAATTTTAACCTGCATTTCTCTAATGATTAATGATGTTGTGCATCTTCTCTCGTGCTTATTTGCCATCTGTATATCCTCTTTGGTGAAGTGTCTGTCTTTTGCCCAATTGAAAAAACTGAATTACTTTCTTACAGTTAAGTTTTGAGAGTTCTTCATACATTCTGAAGACAAACCCTTTGTATTTGTAAATATTATTTCCAAGTCTGTCTCTTGTCTTTTCATTCTTATAAAATTATCTTTCACAGAATAATAGTTTTTAATTCTGATGAAGTGAAAATGTATCTTTTTGATGAAATTTAATTTGATGAAGTCCAACTTCTCCTTTTTCTTTTACGGATGGTGCTTTTGCTGTCATGTCTAAGAACCTCTTCCCTAAATTCCAGGTCATGAAGATTGTCTCAAGCTTTATAGTTTTATATTTTATATTTATATTTATGAACCATTTTGAAGTAACTTTTGTATAATGTGTGAGGATTAGGTCAAAATTCACTTCTTTTTGCATAAGGGTGTCTAACTGTTCCAGCACCATTTGCTGAAAAAGCTATACTTTCTCACTGAATGGACTTTTTACCTTTGTCAAACATCACTTGGCATTTTTGTCAGGACCTATTTGTG